CATAATTAGCGAAATATTTTTGGGGGGGTATCTTCATTTCACAGTACTGTTTTCTAACTTCTCACAATAATAATCAATGGATTGTGATGCTGCTTACCTGGCGAATCCGCAAATGATGCATCAAAACAAGCATAATTAATGAGCGCATAGGAAGCGAGAAAGAAGTTGGATATGATAGGAGCGATGGCGTTCAAATCTCCTAAAAGTCTTGACAATTATAAGTCGACAAATTACTTCAAGTTGAAGTCATAGAGTACATCTATAAGATTTGAGAGCTGAAGAAACTAACCTATGCCGATAATACACATAGCTATGATGAACGTAAGGACGTACGCTCTTCTGGGTTCTTCATTTTTCCCAAATGCTTTTGCAAAGTATCCAATCTTTGGAAACAGGCGGTCCTTGCAAACAGCCTAGAAAAGGCTACAGTTTCTAAAAGTCGAAGGGCTATTGATAGAGAATTAAATAGAGCAAGCCATTTATGATCAGCTTGTACTGGCTTGGAAATTTGCTTACCTGAAATACTTTCGGTGCGCTGACAAGACTTGCAAGAGCTGAGCTGAGGGTGGCCGCGAAAATTCCAGCCGTAATCAATGGTCCCCAGAGGGACTCCATTTCCATAATCTGAAGAAATGAAGGAAATCTTGAGGCATCTGAAAATTTGTGAAAGATGCTGAAATTTATGTTGCGCTATGCGCGACGTATTATCTAGTGCTGAATAGAAGTGTGCACCTGGAAGTAATTCATAAGACCGTATGGGCAAGTTTGATTAACGGCGCATTCTGGAGGAATGAAACTGGTACCATTCCAAATAGGAGGAGATATGCCATCCGCGTCTCTGCAACAAAAGAAAGGAACCGTACGAAAAATATGCAGGATATTGGGTCTGCTAAAAGTATTAAAGTTAGAAAGTACTTTTTATTGTCACAATTCTAAAACGTTGCTATGCTGTCAACTGTATGTGTAAATCTACACTTGTTAACCAGAAAAGTCCTAGAAACTACGTTGAGTTTGGATCAACCAAACAAGAGTGACCACAGACGAATGCTAATCACCCG